GAACTTTCGAACCACAGTTGGCAACACGTAATGGGTGTGAAATCAGTTCAGATCTCACAGCCAGCATTTAAAAGAAGCCGGAGAGAAAATATTGAGATGCGTCAAACGTCGTGACAGGTGTTTTCTGAAACTCTGTGCATGGTGGTTTTCGGTATAAAACATTTCTAACTGTGTGTTGTGGTCAAATGAGTTGAAAGAGACTGGCCTGGGGTCCCAGAGTGGTGGACCTGGACGTGATTTTCACACAAGATGACAGATTAGATGAGCGATTACAGGCTGTCCTGGGAGCTGGGAAGACCGTACACGCAACAGAATGAGGAGGAGGAGGAGGCCGGCACCGTGTCCTTCGCCACACTGGCGTCTCCTGAGAGGACAACCTCGGGGCTGAGACCTCAAGGGGAGTCGCAGGATGCATGTGGCCTGGAAGGAGCTGGACCTTCGCATCCGACCGTAATTCCAGGACGGTGGAAAATAGTAAGGCAGCTATGACCAAACCCCAATGCCTAGACATCATCCTGGTCCTTGCCACCGTCACCCTCTTAACTTAGGTCAAATAAGGAAGAACCATAAACCAAATTGCAGAGTATTGTCATGCCGATCTTTGGTTAACTTCTCTTCTATGTTTTTATTTCTTTGTTTCTAAAATAGTTTTATACTTCATGAAAGGTCCTGTTTATAGGCATCGGCTTGTCCACGTCATTTCTTCCCCTAGTGTCGACGCAGACCTCTGGTTGGTTGGCCTCTCTAGACCGCGGCATCTCAACATGACACTCTTGACATTTAAACTGAACGATTCAGTGCTGTTTCGCCGCATTTCTGGCCTTTGGTGACCTGATGCCAGTAGCACCCGTCTCCTTCCCCCGGTTCTGAGGACCAGAAATGTTTACAGACCTTGCCACGTGTCCCGGGGGCGGAGGAGGCCGGTGCTGAGTTGAGAACTACTCTCGCAGGAATTCTAGGATACAGTGAGAGGAGGTGGCCCAGACCGAGGATACCCTCCATCGCATCCGTCCATCAAGGGAGGACGTGCCAGGGTTCCTTTCTTTTTCCTTTCTCTTTAATTGGAAAAGTCAAATTTTATGACTGGGCTTCCAATGACTTGTAATAAGAGAAATCTTGTGTATAGATTATAGAACCCTGTGACATAGAGCCTCTTGCCCCCACGTCGTGGGAGCGTCCTTACAGTGTAGGCGCTGTCCTAAGCTTAAAAGTAAAAGTGGGTTGACAGTGGCTCAGCTATTTTCTTTTTTTAATCTAATTAATTGGCTCCATTCCTTTAGATTTTTCCTGCAGGAGTGAACCCAGCGTTAGACAAGCCTTCCGCCTAGTTTTCCCGACACTCTTGGTTTCCTTGGTTCTGCTCCCGTGCCTAATCCGGTCTGGTCTTGTGACCGGTGGCGTGTATTTCTGTAACAGGAGCTATTTGTTCTGAGGCTGCATTTTCCCTAAATTGATTTCCTGTCTATTAATCTTCCATATTTTCCCCCACTTCTCAACCTTACCGCCTTTCTCCTAGTACATGCTCCATTCAGGGAACTCCACGTACTGAGTTGGGTTTTTACGGAATACGTTTTGTTACTGTATTTTGGCTGCTGTTCCCCCAAAAAAATTCCTGTAAAAAGAATTCTGTTCTTTAAACCTAGCGTTTTCCTGCTATTTGGGAATAACCTCGTGTAAGTAATACCCTGTTAATTGTTGCACATACCAATGACTTTTTTTTTTTTTTTACATACCAATGACTTTTGACGCTTCAAGGGACTCGCCTGAAAAATTCTTGAATAAGACCGTGGGTCTCATTAATCCTTTGAAATCTTTCTAAATTAAATCAGGTGCTCATTCAGCCAGCCCGCATCAACACGCTGCTGCAGGGGGCTGGATCCACGCCTTCCCCCGTAGGGTCTCTGCTGCATTGTTACCCTGACGGCGAGGCTGGCCTCATGCCTCCTAGAAAGTAACGTCTCTCGGCACTTAGTCCGTTTACCCACATTTATGTTCACAAACATTCATCACCATCTGTGATCGGTGTTTACTTGTGTATTTGGTTTTGTTTCCTTCCCCTCGCTGGAATGTAAGCTCTGTTCCCAGTGCGCAGGCCACGCCAGTAAATGCTTGGTTGAATGAATGGGTTTCCTTAATTTGTGAGACCCTCCTTCCTTAGCACCTGCCGTGTGCCACGCACATTCGGAAGATCCTCACCCGCGTCAGCCCGGCTCTGAAGGGGTGGCCACCCCGGCCTTGCCTTCGCCAACACGTTCTCTCTACTCTTCTCCTTCTCTGGAGATAATTAGTGTTTTGAGCAGCTGCTGGCCTCTGTCTTGGCATCGTGTTTTTATTGTTTCTGTTCACAGTCTCTTGTTTACGTGACCCTTATCTCCCGTCATGGTTCTGCGTCCTTGAGGGTGTGGGAAGGATGGGTTCCAGTTCTCTGGGTTTCCCCCCTAGGATGGGCACGTGCCCACGTCTGGCACACCGCGTGCCCCTGCAGACCTGAGGCCAGGTGTGCGAAGGTGGGGAGCTGTGTGGTGTGTAGCCGTTTCCTCCAGTGCCCTTGTGCCCCGCTCTGGACTTGAGTCCACACGTGGTCTTGCTATTCCCAGGGCTTTAAAAAACACACGTTTATATACGACATCGATATTTCCTTGTGTATGTTATAGGTAGGGGTGTACATAAACAGTTTCTTAATGTCTAAGTGTTGTAGTTGTAGGCTATCTATGATCATTTCCAAAAGGCACATTCAGTATAAATACAGAAGACCGTTTGGGGAATCTGAATTCTTTCTATCCTCAAATTCTGGGATTCTCCATATACTCAGAGACAGTTAGCAGGAGGAGTTGTTTCCACGTGGGGAAGGACTTGCTGATGACGAGTCTTGGGAGGGCTTGGGCAGGAGACAGGGTGCTGGCTTTGCTGCCCTCCTCTTTCCTGCAAGAAGCTTTCCCTGGGAACCGGAGCAACCATTCTACCCCCGGGTTGGCGGGAGCTCTGAGCAAGCGCGGGGAGACGACGAGCCTCCCGCGTGTGCCAGGAGCAGAGAGGCGGCACGGGATTCTCTGCACTCCTTGGCTTGCTAGGGTTAGCCCCTGCAGGTGTGAGACCCAAGTACCAGCCCAGTTGTTGGTGTTTCCAGGAAGCCTGCTTGGGCCGCCCGGGTGGCTCAGTCGGTTGGGCGTCTGCCTTGGGTTCGGGTCAGGGTCTCGGGGTCCCCGGATCGAGCGCCACGTTGGGCCCTCTGCTCAGCGGGGAGTCTGCTTGTCGCTCTGCCTGTCACCCCGCTCATGTGCACTCACACGCACGCTCTCTCAAATAAATAAAGTCTTAAAAAAATAAAGAAAAGAAAACCTGCCTGGATTAGCATTGTTGGCATGTAGCAAGCTGGGGAAGAGTAGAGAATTTTAGCTGTTCCTTTCTGGGCCTTTCCAGATGCCCCAGGACAACTCCGAGCCTTGGTCTGAATCCCTCCCTTTAATTTTCTTCCATGGGGTCTGAGTTAGAGTGGAGGGTCAGTGTCCTAGACGTGCGCCCACACTCTTGAATGTTCCCGAGGGTTGTTTTCTTGAATGCTGATCCTTGGCCATGGCCCGCCCCTCCGTGCACTCCCTGGGCAGCGCCCCGGCCTGTCCTGCCCTCTGGGTGCCTACGTGGCGGGGCTGGCTGTCTGGCGGGAGGTGGGCCGCTGCGGCCGGCGCGTGTCCTGCGGGAGGTCTGGGCCCCAGGAAGCAGCTGGGGACAGCGGCCGGCCTTGACAGGACATGGTCAGGTGTCCGCCCTCGCCTGGAGCAGTTTCTCAGGACTGGTTTCTACCAACTCTTGTGGTTCCTGTGGCAGAGATGCCACGGCTGAAGTCTTATTTTTTTCCTCTAGAAACATAAAACATGCCATTTCTCATGGCTTCTGAAAACCATCGGATTGGTACTTTTGCTTTTCTTAGTGGGTCATTCTCGTTTGCAATAACATGCTATTTGTTGCCACGTAGGCAACCGGTCAACGTGTAAAAATAGAATTCCCCAGTCAGGAAGTCCTGCAGATAGTCTCCGAAAGTCATTCTGCGTCTGCACGCGAGTGAAGTGTGTGCGCATGCGAACGCGGTACATCTTTCACGTCGTTTAGGCCCCTGCTCTTTCTGCCTTCGTGTTTTTTAGGGAAGAATGTCACAAAAGTATAAAACGAATAACTGTGGAGTAGATGCCGCCAGATGATTGTTAGGTACATGTGTTTGTAGGTGAAGCTGGCCAACTTTTGATCAATAGGTGGAGCTGACTTAATACGGTTAATCCTGCACCAAGTCAGCGGTGGTAGAGAAGCACGGAGTAGATTGTGGAAATGCGTGCGAATTCAGGGCTCAGTCCCCTCCCATCCGAGCTCTGGCTTGTGCGTGCCACCGCACGTGGGCAGCACGTATCCGTGATGCTTGGAATTTTAAGGAAGACAGCTGTCAAGGACGCCAACCGATTTTAAGTCCAAGAAGGGATTCAAGGACATTTTTAAAATACTCCTGTGATGATGTGTTCCAACCTCTAAGCAAATACGTGTTTGAGCAAATCCGACTGCGTGGTGAATCTATGTGACACTTGCATTGAAGGGCGGTTATCATGAAGTCTTGAAATACGCCGTGTGATCCCATGTGAGATGTTACACAGCGAAGCCAAAGTACTTTCGAAAACTTTGGTTAGGCGGGTTCCCCACCGTTACGGATTGATAGCGATTGGAGAAACATGCAGAGCAGCGAAGCGTAAGTTTATGATTTGTGCGATTCCCAAGGGGTGGCTGCTGCGGGAACTGCTGTCGTCTAGGAACGTCTGTTAGCGGTTGTCCCATGATAGCTTCCTTTCGAAGTAGATGGTGGCACAGAGAATGCAGAGGTTGTCTGCGGTGCGCTTTCTATTGCCAACTCAGGGTCTTGTCGCGGAAACTGTACTGAGATTGTACTTCAAAGTGGGGAAATGTCCGGGGACACCGTTCGTTGCTGACCACTAAACAGTGGGATTCCTTCTGCCCGCCAGGTATTCACTTACAAGCAGAGCACGATTACGCAGCAGAAGGTGACCGCTATGCACCCCACGACCGAGGAGGGCGTAGATGACATGGCCACTTTGACGGAACTCCACGGGGGCTCCATCATGCATAACTTACACCAGCGATACAAGAGGGATCAAATATACGTAAGTTCTGCTTTGATTCTCTCTAAAAATCCCTCGTGGGATTGAATGTGAAGTTTTGTTTTCAACGAGTGTTTCCTGCCCTTTGAGACCGTCCACTTACTCTAAGTAAAACTGTGTTTTCAGGTGTTCAGCCAAATTAGAAACGTGGTCCAGTGAATCGTGTTCTTGTGTGTGTTGCCCTGATTTTTTTTAATTTATTATTATTATTTTTTGCCCTGATTTTATTAGAAGGAAGTGCTTTATGCGTGGAAGGGTGATTTGACCCCTCGTGAGTGCCTTCTGTCTTGGAAGGGTTCTCTTTTACGAAGAAGTCACCAGAGTGCTTGTCTTTCTCAGCTAAGGGCCAGGCGGAAAATGTGGATTTGCAAATAATAGTACCTCAAGCTCCAACTTTTCTCTCCTTTTCTTGATGTTTCTCCTTTTATGGATTTCTCACTTTTTTTTTTTTTCTGGCCCCGGAGCCCCTCCAGGGGAATATTTGGATTCAGGGAACCCATCTTTCTTACGTGCAGGGTTGCTGTTTTGAAGGGAGACATGTCCATAAAAAAGCAGGCATGCACGTCTCAACTTTTGTGAAACGTGACTATATCTGTATTGTAGATGTAATATTTAGAAATCATTAAAAAAATCATTTCTACAACACGTCATTACTTTTTGGCATTAAAGTACATACTTGGATTTATCTGTCAAGATTGCCCGGCGGATTTTATCTCTTTCATCTGCCTGCTTCCAAGTCCTCATAGTAAAGGGGTCAACTGCTTACCTATATTTTTTTCTTGTCAGGTTCAAACATATAGGTTTAAAAAAAAAAAAACCAAAATTTTGATATTGTGAAAACTCTCGATCTTTCGGTAATTTTTGTCCTTCAGCAGTTATGCTGAATTTTGCCAATGCACTGGTGATCCTGATGGGTCATGTCCCCCTTTACGGCAAGCTGGCAGATGCTCACGGAAACTCAAGGCCTGCTTGGTATTCTTGTGTCTCCAGTTTATTGCCCTTAGACCGGAAGAGGAGATCTGGGAAATGAGAAATCCGTTGATTGCGGGTTTACTGCTTAATTTTCCTCTGCTTTTTACACTGTGAAAGTGTCATTTTTGCCAGCTTGACCTAATGCTCGCCACATGTTTTCAAGCAGCCCTATGGAGAGAAACGCAGAGGGATTCCAGCCCTCTGCCGGCTGAGCTTCCTTACAGGGTCTTTAGATTACCGGATTTCCCATAAGTTCTTCAGGGGAGGCAGCCTCCATACGTATTTAGGAAGAAGCGGCCGTCTCTTGCGTGTTGTGCGTGTACTGGCGAAGCTCTGCTGTGTTCCCCGTCAGAAACGCCAGGGTGACCCGGGAACTCCCTGCTTCCCGCGGCGGGGCCAGCAGCGGGTCCCGGTTACTGTACCTGTGTGTGCGGAGTTGTTCGACGCTGCCTTGGTTTACATAGCAGTTTCCTCGCTCAGCTTGCCAAGGACTTATTTTGTCTTTCTTGAGCCAAGGACATTCCCAGGGCCCCTGGCAGCTGTGTAAGAAATGTCTGTAAAACAAAGTCTGTGCATATCAGAAATACCGCTCTAGTTGATGATAAATGTGAAGCTGGGTTTAAAATTTCTTCATCGGTAGGTGTCTCGTTGGTGAGGATTTCAGGACTCGCCCTCTTCTGTCTTTAGGTGCAAGTTCTTACTCTACATTTATTAGGGAAATGTCAGTCCATTAAAGGAGGGAAAAAATGACCCAAGCACAGCCTTTTAAAAGTTTTTTTTAAAAAAATAAAAGTAAAAGTAAAAATTTTTCTCTCCTGCGGCACCTGGGTGGCTCAGCGGTTGAGCACATGCCTTGGGCCCAGGGCGTGATCCCGAGGTCCCGGGATCAAGTCCCATGTCGGGCTCCCTGCAGGGAGCCTGCTTCTCCCTCTGCCTGTGTCTCTGCCTCTCTCTCTGTGTCTCTCATGAATAAATAGATAAAATCTTTGAAAAAAAAGTTTTTCTCTCCCTCTTTTCGTGATGACGTTAAACCTGAGAGCTAAGCTGCCCGATAGAGCCTACGAATACCGTCTTGTTTCTTCCCCTGGAATGAAGGTCTTTTTCCTCCCCTTTGAGGGAAGAACATAGGATCCTGCACCTCCGGTTGCAGGTCGGCTTGGTACGAGGCCCTTCTGCGCCCCCTCTGAGGCGCAGGCAAGGTGTCCCGCGGCCGCCCCTTGGTCGTCCGTCCCCGCCGTCGGGCACGGCCCCTGCGGACAGAGGCCCCGCTGTGGGCAGAGCCGCGGCCGCGCTGCCCTCCCGCTCCGAGCCCGCCTGCCCAGATCTGTGAAGGGGGACACAACGCCGCTTGCACGGAAGGTGCCGGGTCCGGTTTCCGCTGCGGGCACCGGACATCGCCGCGGGCCGTGACCGTAGCAGCTTAAGAGGCCCGCTGCCGCCCTGGCTCCGTGGCCGCGCCCGCCCCCCGCGCTCCGTGGAAGCACTGTCTGGGGGCGGGGGCCCACCCGTGCCCTTGGAGGCCGGAGGTCCCGTCGTCTGGCGGGCGGGCTGCGGGCTGTTGGCAGGTCCCCGCCTCCGGCCCTCAGAGCCAGCAGCGGGGACCGGGGCTCTCGCCGTGGGTCTCTCCTCCACCCCGTCGTCCCCTCTGCCGCCAGGATGTCCCCCTGTGGTTGGGTGGGGCCCGCCGGGCGGGGTACGGGTCTGTCCAGGGCCTCCGGCCACGGTCACATCCCCAGAGCTCCCCACGGCCCGGTCTCGGCGTCTGCGGACTGGACACTAGCGTCCGGGGGCGCCCTGTCCGCCCCCCGCCCCTGAGGCGGCCCCCGCGGGTCTCCCCCGACGCCCCGGGTCTCGCAGCATTGGGTTTGTGGGCAGGAACCAGGTTGCTGTGAGAAGGCCCGGCCCGGCAGGAAGGCCTGCTGGCCTGTGTGAGGGCCCCGGCGCTCTTCTCCTTGGGGACCAGCCTTCCCGGACCCCACGAGCCGTCCCCCGCCGTCCCCAGCCGTGAACGGGGGACACAGCCAGGAAGCGCTAAAGCGCCCCGAGGAGACCGATCCGAGTTGAGCAGGCTTCTCCACGCGCCCGCTCCTGGGCTCTGCGTCGGGAGCCTGTCGGTTTTTTAATGTGTGTTTTCTAAGAGGGACGGGGCGTCCCTGACTGGGCTGTTCTCGAAGCAGGTGGCGGGCGAAGGCTTCTGGGACCTTTGCAGCTCTCCCCGCATCCTCCTCGTCTGCACCCAGGTCTGTAGGAAGCTCCGCCGGGAACTTGTCCTGAGTCCTCGAGGGCAGAACCGGGCGGCCCCGCCGCAGGTCCTTCTGGGATCGGACCCTGGTGAGAGCAGCTCCGCTCGAGCCACAGCCTCACGCCCTGATGCTGGGGTCCTTTCCTGGGATTTCAGGTTCCTGGCGCCTGAGGCCCCACCTGTCTTTCCCCCTCTGGCGACTCCCCGAGTCGCACCACAGCCCCCAGCCTGGGCCTCACCCCAGACCCCACCCGGAGCCCCCTTTCTCTGGGCTTCCCGCCACAGGGGCCGCTCCCTGGTTGCCTCTCCCCGGAAGAGGGTCTGATGAGGGCCCCGCGATCCCCTCTCCTCCTACCCGTCATGGGACCAGGAGGACAAGTACCCACCCCCGTTAGGTTCCTAGAGACTCAGGGAAGGAGCCCGGCACGTGTTTGTGGGACGACGAGGGGAGACGGGGCGAGGTAACCTGCGGGTGGACGAGGCCTGCGCTGCCGTGGGAAGCCCTATGTGGGGGGGGGGGTACGGCGGTGACGGGAGGGGCAGCAATGACACCTCAGAGGAGCCTATGAGCTGGCTCTGAGAGGCTGGTGGACACTGCACGTGAAGATGGAGCGATGGGAGCGGACTTGGGGTGATGGTCTCCCTGGGTTGGGCGAGTTCCTTTGCTCGCGGATTGTGGTGTGTGTTAGGATTGAGCCCTCCGGTGGGGCGGCCGGCTGCGGTCAGGACAGCCTCAGGCAGCGGTCCTCCACCGGGGGACTGTGCCAGGGGACGGTCGGCACCGCCCGGGGACACTCCTGGTTGCAGGGCCCAGGCCGGGGATGCTGACGTGTCCAGCGGGTGGGGCCAGGGGTGCCCGGGACCACGCAGCAGAGCGGGACCTGGGCTGAGCTGTCAGCGGTGGCGAGCTGAGAGGCCGACTGGCTGGGCACATGCCCGCACCCCGCACCCTGCACCCCGTGGCCAGACTGGGTTCGCAGCGGCGCCGGGCCGGGCGGGAGAGAGCACAGCACTTTTGTTAAGGGTTTTGGGGAGAGGATTTCCCGGAGGTAGAACTTAGACGTTGGTAGGGGTGGAGTGCACGGACCGCAGAGGGCGGGTGGCACAGAGTGCATGGGGTCTAGCCCGGGCACAGGGGTCGGGAGGAAAGGGGGGGGGGATGCTGGGGGGAGGGCGGGCGGCTCTGGTGGCCACCAGCCTCGGGAAGCCCTAATGGCCGTGATGACCTGGGCCACGGTCCTGGCAGCTCCTCCGGGAGGGGAGGCTGGGGCCGGAGCTGCTTCGGGATGCCCGTCTTGTACCCTCAGAGCCTGGGGGGGTTCCACGTTGTTGGGGGCCCTGCACGTGCACACGGTGGGGACAGGACAGCGGGGCTTCCACTGTGGAGAGCGCAGGCCCCGTGTCCACCCCGCAGCCCGTGCTGTGGCAGGGTGGTCGTCCTCCACTGGGGGACACGCAGGGTCTCCGTCCTGGGCTGTCACGCGCTGCGGCAGGTGTGCGGAGGGACGTGGACTGGACCCCGGGAGGCCGTGCTCTGGTTGTGGGGTCGGGTCCCAGGGAGGCCGCGCTGTGGCCGTGGGGTCGGGTCCCGGGGAGGCCGTGCTCTGCTCCGCCGGGACCCTGGCTCCTTTGCTGGTCCTGCCGAACAGTGTGGAGATGAGCAGCAAAAGACCCACTTGGAGAAGCGGCCCGACTAAAGACACGCTGATATCAGCACCTGCGATTCTTCACAGCTAGAGTATTTTTTTTTAAGATTTTATTAATTTATTCATGAGAGATGCAGAGAGAG